GAATAGTAGAAAAAAACTAAAATCGACCATCAAAACTAAAAAACATTTAACTAACAAATCAATAATTATTAATTTTGTAAAAAAAAGAAAGAAAAATTTCAAAATTTTAAAACTTGAATACTTAAAATATACATAACTATAATGTGAAGTTAAATATTTGTGAAATCTCTAACGACTAATGCATGATCTAAAATCAGGTTTAGTTTCATATATATCGTTATGCAAATTTAGTAACCAAAACAATAATTTTTTTTTTTAAAAAAACACAATTTTCTTTTAACAAACACAAAAAATAAGCTTTTAAAATTCTGAAAAGAGACAAAATCAAAATTTTAAAAACTATTTTAAAAAATCCGAATTAAAAACTTGAATGTTAAATCTACATAATAATAGGATAACAAGTTGAATGTTTGAAATCTCTAAGGACTAATGCTGAATCTAAAATCCGGTTAGTTTTCATATCATTATATAAAGAGAAATTGTTAAAAATGTCCCTTTTTCAATACCCCTTTTCAAAAATGCCCCCTTTGAGAGTACATTTTTAAGTTTGCCCTCTTTTAATTTTTAATGACCATTTTACCCTTATTTGAAACAAAATTAGGTCCACAAAATACAAAATATTTTTTGGCGGGAAAAGTGATCCCGCAATTTTCCCGCCAAAACACTTGTAAAAACTTGTAAAACCTTTAAAATACCTTGTAAAATTTTCCCGTAAAAATTTTTTCCGCCAAAAATTTTTTTTGCGGGAAAAGTGATTCCGCAATTTTTTTGGCGGGAAAATTTTTGGCCGGAAAAATTTACAAGGTATTTTAAAGGTTTTACAGAGTATTTACAAGTGTTTTGTAAGGTTTTACAATGTATTTTAAAAGGTTTTACAAGTTTTTTAAAACCTTATAAGTACCTTGTAAAACTTTATAAAATAGCTTGTAAAATCTTACAATATCTTATAAATACTTTATAAATACGTTGTAAAACCTTTTAAAATACATTATAAAACTTTATAAATACCCCGTAAAAAACCTTTAAAATACCTTGTAAATTTTTCCCGCCAAAAATTTAACGCCAAAAAAATTGCGGAATTACTTTTCCCGCAAAAAAAATTTTTTGGCGGGAAAAATTTGTACGAAAAAATTTTACAAGGTATTTTAAAGGTTTTACAAGTTTTTACAAAATAAAATTTGTAATTTTGATGTGTGCACATTCTCATGTTTTTCTTATATATTTGTGATATTTTTTATTAAAAGAAGGGTAATTTAGTCATTTTGTACATAAAAAAAGTATTTTTAAAAATGGACAGCCAAATAGGGCATTTTTGAAAAAGGTATTGAAAAAAGGGCATTTTTGTGAGTCTCCCTTATATAAATTTAGTATCCAAACAAATAAAAAAATGGGAAATTGTTAAAAATGCCCCTTTTGGTGTGCTCCTTTTCAAAAATGCCCTTTTTAGATGTCCATTTTCAAAAATGCCCTTTTTTAAATCTGAAATTTTTATAAAGTTTTATTAGGTTTATAAGGTACTTATGGATTGTAACTACTACTTGAAGACTCGATCCAAGTATTTATAAGGTTTTATAAGGTGTTTTTAAAGGTTTTACAAGTTATTTTAAAGAATTTTTAAGGTTTTTCAAAGGTTTTACACAATGATTTCACGCCCGACCCGGACCGTCTGGTCCGACCTGTTAACCCACGACCCGGATACTTTTCCGGTTTGGGTTTAGTGCTAATACCCGCCAATTTCATAACCGGAAAAACCCACAAAAAACACGCCATTAACCCGCGACCCAGTGAACCGGTTGAACCGGCTGGGTATGGGTTTTAAAAATATCATTTGATTTTGGAATAAAATTTAGAGTTTTAGACTCTATTCAATTATTTTTAGAACTCTTTTGTAGTTCTTAGACTCATTTGATGTTTTAGATTTTGATGAAACATGACAGTACCGTCTAAGGAGAATGAATGTAATGGTGAAAGAAATAACCGATATTAATTGTTTTGAATTCGCGATGTTTTATTAGTTTATTTCTGTTATTGTTGATCTCCTACTATTTTAATATTTGTTACGATTTTAGACTTTTAGTTGGATTTAAATTTTTTAATTTGAATTACTTTATTATTATTGTTAGACTTCATATTTTGTAAATATAGTATGAATATTTGTATTTTTATATTTATAAAAACTATATATTCTCTATGAATATTAAATATATTAATTAAATTTTAATCAATTGACCCGTTGTCGAACTCGGTTCACCGTCTGGGTAGGGTTTAAAAACACTGGTTTTACAAGATATTTTAAAGGTTTTTAAAGGTATTTAAAATGCATTTATAAGATATTTATAAGATTTTAGATACATAGTAATGTAGTTTGTGTATGTTTTAATAATGTTACATACATATTTGGGTAAATCTTATATTTTTAAGAGCATTTTTTATAAGATTTTAAAGAAAGGGTATTTTTGAAAAGTAGCATTGAAAAAGGGGCATTTTTGGAAAAGCCCCTAAAAAAATTTAAGAACAAAAACAATAAAAAAAGCTTTTAAAAATCGGAAAAGGAACAAAATCAAAATTTTAAAAAATATTTTTAAACCTGAATGCTGGATCCAAAATCCGGTTAGTTTTCATATCATTATGTAAATTTCGTATAAAAACAACACAATAAAAAAGCTTTTAAGAATCCAAAAAAAAAAATCAAAATTTTAAAAACTATTTTTGAAAACCTGAATTAAAAACTTGAATGCTAAATCTACATAATAATAGAAAAACAAGTTGAATGTTTGGAATCGCTAACGACTAATGCTGGATCCAAAATCCGGTTAGTTTTCATATCATTATGTAAATTTAGTATACAAAAACACAATAGAAAAAAAAAGTTTTAAAAAATTCAAAAAGAAAAATAATCAAAAATTTAAAAACTATTTTTAAAAATCCGAATTTAAAATTTGTAAAATTTGAATGCTAAATCTACATAATAATAGGAAAAACAAGTTGAATGTTTGGAATTGCTAACGACTAATGCTGGATCCAAAATCCGGTTAGCTTTCATATCATTATGTAAATTTAGTATATAAAAAAACACAATAAAAAAGCTTTTAGAAATCCACATAGAAAAAAAATCAAAATTTTAATAACTATTTTTAAAAATCCGAATCAAAAACTTGAATGTTAAATCTGCATAATAATAGGAAAACAAGTTAAATATTTGGAATCGCTAACGACTAATGCTGGATCCAAAATCCGGTTAGTTTTCATATCATTATGTAAATTTAGTATACAAAAACACAATGGAAAAAAAGCTAAATCTACATAATAATAGGAAAAACAAGTTGAATGTTTGGAATCGCTAACGACTAATGCTGAATCCAAAATCCGGTTAGTTTTCATATCATTATGTAAATTTAGTGTATAAAAAAAAACAATAAAAAAAGCTTTTACAAATCCGAAAAAAAAACAAAATCAAAATTTTAAAAACCATTTTTAAAAAGTCGAATAAAAAACTTGAATGCTAAATCTACATAATAATAGAAAAAACAAGTTGAATGTTTGGAATCGCTAACGACTAATGCTGGATCCAAAATCCGATTAGTTTTTAAATCATTATGTAAATTTAGTATCCAAAAAATAAAATAAAAATCAAAACAAACACACAATAAAAAAAAAGCTTTTGAAAAAATCCGACCATCAAAACAAAACAAAAAAAAAAAAAACATTTTTACTACTAAATCAATAATTATTAATTTGTAAAAAAGAAAAATAAAGAGAGGATAGAAATTCGTTACCAAGCAATAGCAAAATGTGTTGTCTATCATTTTTTTTTTTTTTTTTTCATCAGTCTATCATTCCAAACAGTCTTGCGGCTGCACCCACTGATTTGGCGAATCAAGAATAGGAACCTACAAAGAAGAAAACTAAAGGTTAATTAAATTAATTAAGAAACAAAGTGATAACAGACAAGAAAATTTCAGACTCCATTTGGAATTTCAGTAGCTAAAACTAGAAGCATCAAGACAAGCTAAAGGTTTTCACTTTCTGATCTTCCACGCCAAACTAATAACAAAACTAACTAAGAAATCGAAACAAAACAACAGAGACTGAATTGCATAGAAATTTACCAAAAGATATTTGAGATCGTTGGTGCTAATAGCCAAACCACCCATCACAGGCAACAATTCAAAATTCCTCAATGAAATCGAATCCACAAGAATCGAGTTTCTTCAGAAGAGAATCGGTCAAGTCTTTTGAATTTTTTTTTAGGGTTCCAAATCGAAATCTGACGAATTTACCACGTGTACATGAGAGTAAGAAAATGTTAACTGCGAAGAGCTTTTATAAGTAACAAACCTGTATCTCGTCACAACGGCGCGTATGATGCATCATCCATGGTTTGCGTCACCACCTACGACTCTCAGTGAGATCCTCCATGATTTGCTAGAGAGTTTCACAAAAACAGAGACACGAAATCAGAACAGTGGGGGGCAGATCCTTGATCGTGTGATCATAAAACATGAGTTACAGTTCCGACGGCTTTGGTGCGGATGGTCATCGAGATTTGACATTCTCGAGATCGGTGAGTTCTCTCTTGATCAAGAAGAAACAGCAACTAAAAAGAAATAGAAGAACAAAGGTGGATTTTTCCTTTTTGAACAGAAAGAAAAATAATGATTTCTCAAAGAAGCTGATTTGTTATATATAGAGAAAGGGTACATACAAAAAAAAGGAAACGTTAGGTTAGGTTGTTCAAAAAAAAGGAAATCCATTTTATATAAACATAAAATAAATCACTCATACAAATATATATAAAAAAAAAAAAAGGAAATTGATATCGGTGATTAAAAGTTACCGTTACAACAAATCATATTTATGTTTTTTAATTATCTAACAATTTATTTGACATGACTTACGTTTGTTGTAGTTAATATGTAGATGATTAAAAAAAAAAGCCAAGATTAAACCGCAAATAAGAGACTGAATCTCCCAAAGAGATTCCGGTTAAGACTGTACGCAGTTTCAGTTTCCTTGATTTAGGAGTTTTCTTTGTTTGTGGTACAAGCCTTGTATGATAGTACATAAATTTATATATATATATTTATATAATAAGAAAACAAAACAGATAATATTTTGATTTTTCCATCATCTCTAAGTGACTCTGTTATTTTAAGGATATGTTTTCCATTCTAAGTACTTCTCTACGCTTTCAAGGCCACAAAGCTGCTTCACTACCGGCATAATCGCTGGAACCGGCAACTCAAAACCAATATCAGATACGTCGGTACGATCACCATTATCGCAATTCCATGAAAGGTACTGTTTTCGAGCTTCTCTAATGGCTGATCTTGTTGCACAGTGCACAGAAGCCGCCACAAGCAACGGAGGCTCACCTGAAGCTGCATCAGAAGAAGACAATTTCAGCTCAACAAAAAGTAAGGTTAAACAAGATACCAAATGAGAGAGATCAATCTCATTGATTCTTAGCTAAACCTTTAGAGGAAAGAATGCGGTTCTTGTGATGACCACTGTTGAGAATCTGAACGTTGAATTGTTTGGGAATTGTGTCTATTGTAGGTATTTTGTAGTCCCATGTACCTTCTTCCTTCACAAGCCCGTTTTCATTTGTCGTGTACTCCTCATACATGAAAAACCCTATTCCTTGAACAAACGCTCCTTCGATCTTCTCAAAGAAAACAAACAGAAAGGCCAATTAACCAACCTGTTTTAGAACATTTAAGTGCACATTCAGAATCCAAGCCATACTCAAGCTTACCTGTCCTAAATCAACAGCAGGATTAAGGCTTTTTCCACAGTCATAGATAATATCTGATCTTATAATTTCTGTTCTTCCTGTCACAAGGTCAACCTCCACCTGCACATTTTTACATATATATATATTCAAGTTTTACTGATTTTGTCTTATGGAATGTTTTAAAACATTAGTTATGATTTTTACCTCACTGGCTCCAACTCCGTAGTTGAGATATTCTGCAGAAGAGGACTCTGGCTTATAAAATGTCCGAGCTGATAGGTCCACAGATTGAGCATATGCCTGCGGTTTCACATATGGAGATATTTCCTTGAAAACTGGATTAATAATTAGGAGAACTAAGTTTTATACCTGTTGAATGAGCATGTCCCATGTCACGGATCGAGCATTCTCCAGAATCTGATTCATGGTAGGTTTCAGCCTCTCCACCAAGATACCGCAGCAAAGCCTCACTGCTTCACAACAGTTCTCGGATGTTGTGCTACCCGCAGTGTAACTGCTTTGAGCCATACTGAGTGTGTCAGTCTGAAGAAGCCGTGTTCTTTCAAGCAGATCTTCACTTCCGTCGCATTTTATCATACCAAGACCATAAGCAACCATCTGTTGTACCTTTGTCCACAACCCTTGCCCCACCTCAATCCCTGCAACCTCAACCGCAACCGAACCATCATTCAAAATGCTTACTTTTCCTGGAGTTGGCCTATGCACAACTTGATGGATGATGGGTACTCGAGAAATCCCCCTTTTGCGCCATATGTTACATCGGTTAAACTCTTTCACCGATTCAACCCTTCGCCTGAAATCTGCAGATATCTCCAATTTATCCCACAATAAAGGCAAAGTATATTCATCAGGCTCACCAGCAACTTGCTTATAAAACTTGCTGAGGCTTTCGTAAGTATGAAGATTTATCCTTCTCACAACATCCACGTCCATGTTCAGGGAAGATGCTACATTCTCAATAATGGATTCAGCAATGTATGAACCTTGTACCTCACCGGGTGCCCTTAAAGACGTTCTGCTCGGAAGGTTTGTCTTACACACTTTAATGTCAAATGACAATGCGCCCCATTCATATTTCCTCAGGGAATTCATTATATTCTGTGGCATTACTAGACTTACATCCACATCACACCCTGCATCTATTAACATATTTAGCGCTAGTGCTGTGAGTTTACCGTCAGATCTGAAACCTACACTGTAAGTTATTTTCATGGGATGCCTTCCTCCAGCCATTACCATATCAGTCTTACGGTTGACGTATATCCTTACAGGATGCTGCATTTTTTTTGCAGCAAGCGCACATGCTGTTGCAACCTAAAATCATCTTCAACAGCATTAGTATCAAATCACAATGGAAAGTCTCTTGTTACTATCCTAACGACTTTTATTCAGAGAAAAAAGCAGTACTTACAGGCATAGACTTTATAGCTTTTCCACCAAAGCCACCTCCAATTCTTCTGGTGATGACTCGAACGTTATGCGCTGGAATTCCAAGACATGTAGCAATTACTGATTGTGTGTACTCGGGTGATTGAGTTGAACTGTAAACCACTAAACAGTTGTCTTCGTCTGGCAAGGCAAGTGCTGTTTGTGTCTCCATATAGAAGAAGTACTGTGACCCAAGTCTCAACTGCATAACCGAAATCAACAGCAAACATGTGTAAGAATGTACTAAAAAACTTTATTGAATATATCGAGATCAAGAGAGAGAAAGAGAGTTTTAATACCTCTACTGAGCGTATCTTGCGATCAGCTTCAGCCATTCCTTTTGAAATATCGCCAACGGGTTCGGGGTAATACTCGGGAGGAACCTCAAAAAGGCTGGACCTTTTGACTGCATCCTCCACAGATAATACTGGTGTTCCTATATACCTTGAATCGTACTCAACTACTGCGAGGTTTGCTGCCATATCGGCATGTTTTTGTGTGTCTGCAACCTGATAGGTCATAAAAAATGGACTAATAGTAATGATAGAGATGCAGGAATTATTTCGTTGGTGGATGGATTGGGAATGTATTAGAAATTGGACCTTACCACAAGAGCAATTATTTGTCCGGCAGATATAGTAACTTCATCTGCAAATAGAAGCCCTGTGCCAAACATCGATATGTAACCAATGTTTTGCCCCACTTGAGGAATATCCTTGAAAGTAATAACTGCCAAAACTCCAATTGGTGTCACATTTCCTCCGAAACCAACGCTCTTAATCCAAGCTAATGGCTTTGTGCTATAGATGAATGCTCCATGTAGACAATGGGGTAAGGATGGAATATCATCAACGTAAACAGCTTCACCTGGAAAGACAAACGCTCATGTAAGGTCTTATGTTACTTATCTAAATAAACATAGTGACTAAAGATCTAAAAGCATTTCTGCTTGAGCCTTTTCCCACCATTAAAAATATAAAGTTATTTAAAACGATCCAAGGAAAAACATAGTACTAACCAGAAGCCTGCATTTCAGCTCCAAATTTGATAATGGCTTCACCAACAGGGTGATATTCTTTACTTTCAAACACCTGCTGTGCAGATGACAGCAAAGGTAGACATACTGTTGGATCGACGTGCCCATCAATATGCTTTCTTTTTGAATCCCAACTGCCGCTCTCGATCAGAGGATAGAGAAAATCAAAGAGAAACCCAACAGCCAAGCTTTTCTTATACTCAGGATATGAGGTATCTATGCTGGGCACTATGATCCCTTTAAGTAACCTCACAGCTTCATATAAAACACTGTGGCTGAGTATTTTACCCGTCAAGAAATCTTCAACTTCCCTCGCCCTGATGGAATGATACCCACCAAAAGAACCAAATGCCAACCGGCATTTATCCACAATGATGCCTCTTGATGATGCATCTTGAGAGACTACTGCTAAGAAAGCAGCGTTGATATAAGGCAATGCACTTCCAATAGGGCGAAGTGCAGCTCGATAGGTTTCGAAAAGCAAACCAGTAGTGGAAGAAGCAATCCAGCTAGGAATATGAACCTTTAAAAGAACAGTTTTAGTGTCTAATATTGGAGGCGACACAAGATACTCTCCCATCCTAAGCTTCTCGTGTCTCCCTGCATTTATCATATACACAGATGCATCTGCAGCGAGCAAAAGTGTGGTTATGTCAGAAGGAAAACTTTTGCTCTGTGCCATCACTAGATTACCACCGATACTCCCTGAGTTTCTGATAAAATGGTTGGCCACCTTCTCCATATGGACACCGATTTTCTTGAAAACATAAGCAGATGTATTTTCCTCCATCAAAGCATCAATAACTTTAGATATGGTAACAACTGCTCCAATTTCAATACCTCTGTCATCTTTCTTGATCATTGACATCTCTGGAATGTGACTAATATCAATATATCTACCATATTGTTTCTCTTCTTTGTAGTAACCTGTTCCCGTGTTGCCAACAACTAGTTTGATCAAACCTCTATCTTTTCCAGGGTTGGTTGTTGCCAATATTTCCTGAAGCTCTGCGACGCTAACAGGAGTGCTCCAATGATACCTTGTCTGATCCAAAACATTTTGTTGACACTTTATCTTTTCCTTCAAGAAGTCTGGAAAAGTGACAAGATCTTTATCAGGGTTGTAAGGAGGCAATTTCTTGAACATCTCTTCTCTGCTTTCTCCTTTCCTCCAAAAAGAGTTGAAACCCAAATCCTCTATATCCACATCAGCAGCAAAACTCTTACAAGCATCAGCAATGGGACGATAACCGGTGCAGCGACAAAGATTTCCAGCAATAGACTTCTCGGCTTCAAGAGCAGTCAGGTAATCCGGAGAAGATTGTGAGTTTTTGGAGTTATGGGCTTTTGAAAGAGCAGAGTAGAGAGAGATGCACATCCCCGGGGTACAGAAACCACATTGAGAGGCATGGAACCCTGCAAATCTCTTGTGAATTGGGTGGAACCCTTTTTCAGTGTTTCCAAGTCCATCGGATGTGGTTATGGAGCACCCATTTATGCTGCAAAGAAGGGTCAGGCAAGAGTTTATAGAATACTCCTCGACTTGGTCTAACACAGGATCATATTTTGATAGAATTACGATGCAAGCACCACAACCCCCTGCATGAACATTGAAAAATATAACTGAGTCAGTGAGAGAAACACACACAGAAATATTCGGTTCTAAGACACATGAAACAAGGAAAAAAAAAAGATGATCTAAGCCTCATCTCAGTATGGTAGACACTTGTCAGACAAGTGGTTTCCTAATTCAGGTAAATATGAGTGGCATGAAACCAAAACCCAACGAGATTGATTTCCAAAAAGGAAGAAGTAAATAAACATAGATTTTAGTGATTTTGTATGATCTCGTTCACAGATTCAAATAATATATTCATGAGTTTTTACTTTTTGTGGAGACAAAAGTGTTAATCATCCAGGTCCTTGAAATTGAAGGATATTCATTGATAAGCAAAAGGGTTGTTGAAATGAATTTGAGATTCTAACAGAGAAGTGTACATAAAGAAGTAAAACCACAAAAGGATATCAGTGTGTGTACCTTCGCCACAGCTGAGCTTGACACTCTTAAAGCGAGTGTTGGAACGCAAGAACTCGAGTAAAGTCGTAGAAGGATTGACTGACAAGACTTCAAATCTCTCTCCATTAACAGCAAACACCAAATCGTCACCCACCATTTTCTGCCCAAACTAACCAAAGAGTAGTGAATTAGTGGATAACACTCAGCTGCATGAAGGGCTCAAATTTAAGAAAACTCTGAAAGAGAAAATTGGCAGAATTCACATATATATAATAAAAAAAAAAAAACAGTTGCTGAACTGTTTTCAGGAACATAAAGACAACAGGAAGTGATTGGCAAAGAAGTTCTCACTAATCAGTTTCGATACGAAACAAGGAAAACAGAAAGAAGAGAATTGGACGCTAAGCTATCTATCTAAACGTCAATACTAATAAATGAGTGTGATAAAGCAATGCTTAATTTTAAGAGATGATGATAAGTGATGGGTTTGTAATCTAGTCGTAAAGGTGAGAGAGATCTAAAGCTGGAAAATTGTAACTAAAATGAGAAAAAAGTTTCTTTAAATGGAATTTATAGTGTTGGTCATTGTGCATTTCTAATCAGGTAAACCAAATTATGATTCGTATTGGGTGAAAAACTAGTAATTTCTCTCTTAATTTCAAAGCTTTACCTAAATCGGAAGGTGGCTTTGGCCTTTGGAGGTCTGATTGATTTCTCCAAAACCTTTCCTCTTCGGTCTTCCCATTCCGTTTGGTTCCCATCCCGAAAGATTCCTTTCACTAACCATGTCGAGAACCCATTGGCCATTGGAGATCTGGAATCGAAGCATCATCTCTGGATTTCGAATGAACTTCAAGGGACAATCTCCCGCAATCCCTAAATTCGAATCCTTCTTTTTTATTTTCCTACCTTTCAATTTTTCAAACCCAATGTAACCGGAGACTCTATCTTCAGTTGATCTAACCAATTCAAACCGTACCGAACCACTTTAATACCATCACACCTTACCTTGTTTAGATGATGTTATTGGATATTGGTTGGTACAGACCGTTGGATGTTGAGTGTGTCGAAAACTGGATATTGGTTGGTACAGACCGTTGGATGTAGAGAACCTAATAATGTTTTGATTCTTTTTCCAATTTCCGAATGGTAAAACAAATGTATTATAATCTGGTTAGGTTAGGGGAGAATGATATTATGCTCTTATGTCCTTGACACGCAAACCTAAAATTCAACTTTTCTGTAATACTAGTGCTGCACTCAAACTCTATCCATCATTGACCATTCTCGACAATCCCTCCATTAGATACTAGTACATCTTACAATCCATGTCTCTTATCGAATTAATACTACAAATTAACGCTCCATGTTCGGATTGTTTCTCAGTGGTAGCTTCTGATTCTTGGTGATTATCCAGATTTTCTTTTAGCTCTTCTTGTACCTCAGCTTTTGCTGCGTCTTCTGTCGTTGCTTCAGGAATCCTCAGTTCTGAAATCACAAGTTAAACAGTTCAAAACTTGTGCTGTTTTCCGCAAGAACATAAAGGTTTTTAGCACATCAACGCTGGTCGAGTATATCAATGTGTAAATCGTCACCTACCTTGTTTCTTTTTCTTCCTTGAGGATCTTCTTGGTTTATCATCGGATGCTGTACCAAGCAAAAGATGGCTATACTTCGTCATTACCCGTTCTTTCTCATCAACCATTCCTAAAAGCTCATAAGTATCAGCCACGGTCTGCACAATGTGCTTGTCCGGAGGCTTACGGTCATAACTCTCCAGATCCTTAAATAGCTTCATAACCCCACACACAAACAAACACAAATTTGAGGTCAGCACGAAATCAAGTTCGGACATAACTTACTAGTTCAGCTAAGTATCAATGAGCAATATTTTCCATTTAGTGTTCGGCCAGTGAAGAGACAAGGGAAACAAGATGAACCTTAACAAGTTCTTGTAACATGTTGTTCCGGAAATATATGCGCATCATTTGTAAGCATAATTGCCAAGGCACAGAATGCAGATCGTTCCCAATTTTCTTTCGCCAGATAACATGAGCCTCTTCTGCTCTACGATCCATATCTAACGCCCGTATCAACTGTCCATACGTCCCCATCGTGTTCCCTTGTCCCTTACTTAGGATCCACTTTATCACCTACAAACGATTAAACAGGGGAAAAGAAATAAAAACCTCTCCAAGATTCTATTTTTTCAGTTACTACAGAAATAGACGATATGTTCTTGGGTATTTGATTATTCATCATGGTTCATGAGTCCCGGATAAGAGATAGAACATTCGGGGTGATAGATACCTGGATCATTCGATGCCATTGATGTTCCTTTTCAAGAATAGCTATTACTCTTTTTAGGGAAGCAATGGGGAAATTGCGCTCCCAAGCAACCCAAGCATCCAGAGCTCCATAAACAGCCTCTTTATTATCTTCCATGTCAAGAAGCTGCATTCACAGATGAGCCAACGAATAAAGCAATAATAAATTAAAAATCATAAGAGCCAAAAACTAAGGTTAAACAAGTATATGGAAGTTCTTATAATCGACAAACCATTAAACCACTAAAAATCATCTGCTTACAGTGTTCACAAGAAACTTTATTTTATCCTTCTTGGGTATGTTCTCCCCAATTTGATGTTTCCTAGGGGTTTCAGCGTTTTCCTTCTTTGATGAATCAGAAAAATCTTCTTCATCCTACAACAAGATGAAAGGCACAATATGCATCCTAAGGATCTCGTTGGTGAAAACTAACGAAAGAAATAGAAATGATGAAAGGCACAATTCTCAGGAATTTGCTAACCAAAAATACATGGAAAACAGAACGTAATTTGATCATCAGATATATCAGTGATGTGTTTGACTATACGAAACAACTGAGATCTACAGGCCAGTGAATGGGAATACACACTTTTCATGAGCATTAATTAGGTATGTGCTATAAGTTATATCAGGGTCAAGATGTATAAAATCTGTCTGCAAGAGAAACATAAATTGAGCTCACAGTAAGTAAGACTTAGACAGCAAAACACAAAGCCGATCTTCAGTGTATTCTATTGTACCTCAGTCTTGACAATACGTTTAGGAGATGCATGAGAATCAGCCACAAACTGATAGCTCATCGATTGGACCCTTAAAAAGGCGGGCTTGTTTGTCTGGTTGACCTGAGAAATAACATGTATCACACATTGAGATGCATAAAAAAGGAAATCTAAATATACGTGTTTCAATTTTTATTTTAAGCACCATTAGGTTTTTAGGAGTTTAAGATGAAAAACATTTCACAACTGAAAACTTACCCTAAGAAAATGATGAAAAGGACCAGTTAGTGCGGCAGAATTACCAACGGTGTTGTACCTTCTGGAGAAGAATGGTAAAGTATCAGATTCAACACTCAAGAAGCAGCTTGTTTTTGGAAATACAAAACCGAAACTTGGAGAGAAATAGCAGAAAGAGATGAAATGATGCTAATTGATCCAATCTGAGCTTTTACCTTATTCCACTGGAATGAGGAAACCCTCCTGGCTCACCTACAATAAGTTTCAAATCATAAGGATTCAAGAAATTCCAAAGAACAGTCTTTGAAATCATTACAGAGATACTGAACATGTGAAGACCTTAACCAGATAACACAATCTAGCATTTCACATTTGTATGCAATTCAATCAACTTAATAGAAGAAAAAGAGACCATTTTTACAGAAATCAACTTATTATCATCAGTAATACCAACCATAAATCTCGTCACATGCTCCTCCAGCGAAGAGATTTCTTGCTGTCGAAATAGAAGCTAACGGCGCCGTTAGGTATCCGGTTGCACTACTAACGGCGCGTTTCAGAGGCGTTCTCGGAATTAGAGAACTGAAACCCGCCGCCATTGGAGACGGAGGCGCAAAGGGGTTTCCGAGGTGTACAGTTTTCTGAAACTCATCAATTATTTAATTTTTGAATTAAAATGATAAAAAGGTATAAATTTAGCCCATTAGGAAAACAATTGGCCCATTAATCGAGATGATAAACCGGATCGGTTTGATGAAGAGGGGTAATTTCGGAATACAAAGTTTCATGATTCTTCTCCGTTCGCTTCCCAACGTCCGTGGGGGGAAAGACGAAAGGAAAAAAGAGAAGCAGGAGAGAAAATCTGTAGCTGAAACAACATCAATGGTCTGGGCATTTTCTCCGCTTTGTATTGGAAAGGGAAAAAGCTCAAAGGTTTAAATAAGGTCCCTGTGCAATCGTCACGAAATTTGCCGCATTTTGTTCGTTTCTATTTTGACGTCGATCAGAAAGTTTGAAGCTTGGAAAGAGAAATGTTCGCTCTAGATTTCTTCATGGACCCACGTTTTTCGTCTGATTCTAAATTTTGTTGTTGATGTTTCTCCGAGATCCTTTTAGGAAAATCTGACCAAATTCCATGGTACGAGCTTTCTCTTCTTTAATCGCATTGCGGTTTCTTCAAAACTCAATTATTCATTTAGGTTTCCCTCTGTTTGTGTGATGTCGATTTTAATATTCATGTCAACAAACGATTTGGTTTACTTATTAATTTTTTAATCAAACTGTGTTTTTAGTTTTTCTAAATGTGTAACAATTGGTGCTTTATGTCGTTGATTTAAAATTTTCCCTTTTTTTGATTGAATTGTCAATTGTGAATGAGATTATTTTACAAAAATATGAAGATGAGCAACGAAACTTGTTGCAGATTGAACAAAGCTCTGAACAACTAATTCCTCTTTCTATTGATTTTGTTATGGATGAGAACAAAAATTAAGGATCTTTTTTTTGAGAAACTCATCTCTCTTTGTTGTTCTCTTCGATTTTCATTTCTCGGATTATCTGTTTCGATTGTGTAGTTATGATGTTGTGGTTTATGCGCAGGCTGCTTCAGCCAAAGTAACTGTTGGGTCTCATGTCTGGGTGGAGGATCCAGATGATGCCTGGATAGATGGGGAAGTAGAAGAAGTTAACACTGAAGAAATCACACTAAACTGCTCTGGAAAGACGGTAAGTGCTCATCTTTCCTCAAAAAGAAAGAATAAAACTTGTTACATAATACGCTAAGGAGTAAATGATTTCTTGGTATCGCTTTTGATCTTTGTACCTTTCTCCTGAAGGAGTTCATTTTGATCTTCTCACTATGGAACCGATTCCTTAATGGTCATGCATTATCTAAGATTAGAATTGAGATTTGTTTACATTTGTTTCTTAGGTTGTGGCAAAGTTAAATAATGTCTACCCCAAGGACCCCGAGTTCCCTGAACTTGGGGTGGACGACATGACAAAGCTTGCATATTTGCATGAACCAGGGGTTCTGCTCAATCTTAAGTGCCGATATGATGCAAATGAAATATATGTAAGCTTCAGCTATTTACCGCTTTTGAGTTCAAGTACCAGTTTTCAACCATATTTACTTTCAAGGAATTTTGTTGTTTACATTTAACATCACGTGATCTTAATATGTCTCCAAAGTTTCTGCAAGATAATTTTTTGATGATGAATACCAGACGTACACAGGAAATATATTGATAGCTGTGAATCCCTTTAAGAGATTGCCCCACCTTTATGGAAGTGAGACAATGAAACAGTATAAGGGCACAGCATTTGGTGAGTTGAGTCCACATCCTTTTGCGGTTGCAGATTCTGCGTACAGGTAACTCTTCCATTGCGTTTACTAGCTGGTATTATTGTTGCATTATTAATTGTTTTTGATCCTTCAATCACCAAAAATATTAACATTTAGGAAAATGATCAACGAGGGAGTGAGTCAGGCGATCTTGGTAAGTGGGGAAAGCGGTGCTGGGAAGACGGAGAGCACGAAGATGCTCATGCGATATCTTGCCTACATGGGTGGAAGAGCTGAGAGTGAGGGACGATCCGTGGAGCAGCAAGTTTTGGAGGTATAATTTTCTAAATAGATCTTACAATCCAATTTTCTACAAGCGTACATTCTTGCAAAGATAGACTTACTGAGTTTCCTCCAGTAATTTCCTGTCATACTTTTCTCTGATTTACTCTTCTGTTTTGCAGTCCAACCCAGTTTTAGAAGCTTTTGGCAATGCAAAAACCGTTAGAAACAATAATTCAAGGTGGAGGAGAGGAGTCTCACGTTTGTTGATTTGTCCATTTTGTGTATTTTCTTGAATCCAAATTTAAGACACTTGCGCAAATTCCATGTTGCAGTCGTTTTGGTAAATTTGTGGAGATTCAGTTCGATCGTAGGGGAAGAATCTCTGGAGCTGCTATTAGGACATATTTGCTAGAGAGGTCTCGGGTTTGTCAAGTTTCTGACCCTGAAAGAAACTATCATTGCTTTTACATGCTTTGCGCTGCACCAGAACAGGTTTGCCCTGATATCTTCTAAGGCGGTTTTAGCTCGAAATCTTGGAGATCATTTACATGCTTTACATGAGATTCACGTTGACTAAACAGTGTTTTTTCATGAGGTTTCAGGAAACTGAGAGGTACAAGTTAGGAAAACCAAGCACATTTCGCTATCTAAATCAGTCTAATTGTTATGCGTTGGATGGGCTTGATGATTCCAAGGAATACCTAGCTACAAGGAAAGCTATGGACGTTGTTGGGATCAATTCTGAAGAGCAGGTACTTTATTCTAGTTATGCTGAGTCATGAGAACAACTCTTCTTACATTCTACTGTTGTAGGATGGAATCTTCCGAGTAGTGGCTGCAATCCTTCATCTAGGGAACATCGAGTTTGCAAAGGGTGAAGAATCAGAAGCTTCAGAACCTAAGGACGAAAAATCACGGTTTCATCTAAAAGTGGCAGCAGAACTTTTCATGTAAATGCTTCACTACTCTGTCTTTTCTCAGATAAAACTGTTTTATGATCAGCGAGAATTGCAGCCTTGACTTTCTCTTTGTTGCAGGTGTGATGAGAAATCTTTAGAAGATTCCTTGTGTAAAAGGGTCATGGTGACTCGTGATGAAAGTATAACAAAGTCGCTTGATCCTGATAGTGCAGCTCTAGGAAGAGATGCACTAGCCAAGATTGTCTATTCTAAATTGTTTGATTGGTAGATGATTTTTTCTTAAGGATTTATTATATTGTTGAGATTTCTATGTAAAAGGTTATAACTTTCTTGCTTACAGGCTCGTGACCAAGATCAATAATTCCATCGGCCAAGACCCAAATTCAAAACACATTATAGGAGTTCTGGATATTTATGGATTCGAGAGTTTCAAGACAAACAGGTGCTTAACCGGTATGCTTTTGTTTTCACTGACATGCTAAATCTCTGGAACTGAGAATTGAATTCTTACATTGCTTCCTACATTTATGCTCTCTGATTTACTAGATTCTTTTAACTTAGAGCTGATGGTTTTTTTATCGAGTTTATGGTTATTCTGGTTATTGTACGTTCCTTGCAGTTCTGTGGTTTGCCTGTTTGATTATAATTCTTTTGTTCATTCCAACATAGTCTTCTCATTTTCACGGACAATTTGCAGCTTTGAACAATTTTGTATAAATTTAACAAACGAGAAGCTGCAACAACATTTCAACCAGGTTGGACACTGACACTAGATTGTTCTGTTTCTCGACTGACCCAATATTCATACATACCTTCCTCTTCTCTACAGCATGTGTTCAAGATGGAGCAAGAAGAATATACTAAAGAAGAGATTGACTGGAGTTACATAGAGTTCATTGATAATCAGGATGTCCTTGATCTTATTGAAAAGGTTAGTAGCACACAATGTGAAATGTTGGAACTTATTTTCATCACACTTAGTGTTAGTATATTGGTTTTGAGTATCTGATGTGTAGTTTTGTCATGCCAGAAACCTGGTGGAATCATTGCCCTTCTAGACGAGGCTTGGTAATGTTAAAAGGTCATGTTTGTTCGTTGCTTCTCTCTTTTGTCTTCAGAAAAAAATGATTAGGATTCTATTTACATCTGCAGCATGTTTCCAAGATCAACACATGATACATTCGCTCAAAAGCTGTACCAGACTTTTAAAGACCACAAGCGTTTTGGCAAGCCAAAATTGGCTCAAACAGACTTTACAATTTGCCACTATGCTGGTGATGTTAGTGATCCTCATAACCCAAACTGCGTGCTTAAATGCTTGTCTTGATGTAAATTACCTTGGTCCAATGTCTGTATTATTGTTTAATTCCAGGTCACTTATCAGACAGAACTGTTTTTGGACAAGAACAAAGATTATGTTGTTGGAGAACATCAAGCTCTCCTGAGCTCTTCAGACTGTTCTTTTGTCTCATCGTTGTTTCCACCATTGCCAGAGGAATCTTCCAAGACATCAAAGTTCTCATCAATAGGTTCTCAGTTTAAGGTCTGAACTAATGTTAAGTTACACCTGATTCTGCTTATAATCTCTACTATGGTTCTCACCACGTGCTAAAATACAGCAACAACTGCAATCTTTGCTCGAGAGTTTGAGCACCACGGAACCACACTACATACGATGTGTTAAACCAAATAACCTTCTTAAGCCAGAAATATTTGAGAACATTAATATTTTGCATCAACTTAGGTGTGGGGTAAGCTTTTATTGTTTCAGAGAACCTTATGCTTTGAATTTTGTAACTGTATTAAATTATCAAGCTTTCTTATGATGTTGTGGAACTCCCTGTATCTGATCTCAGGGAGTCATGGAAGCCATTAGGATTAGTTGCGCTGGATATCCTACTAGAAGGCCTTTCAATGATTTTTTGACTCGGTTCAGAATTTTAGCCCCAGAGACTACAAAGAGCAGGTAGCTAACCGACACTTAATTCCTGTAACTAGTTTTACATTTTATCATATTATCTTACTTTAGTTTTATAGGAACTAAGGTATTAGCTTCACTTACAAACTTTTTTTGTTTTGGATTTATGTTAATAGCTATGACGAAGTTGACGCTTGCAAAAAGCTACTAGCAAAAGTGGACCTCAAAGGTTTTCAGGTGCAGTTTCA